TTTCTTCCCATTTTACAATATCTATTATACATTTTGGATCTTATTTCCTCTTTCAGCATCTCACACTAGGGAGACAATATGATGTTTACACATGTGAGTCTGGTTTATTTCACTTACGAGTATGGTCTCGAGTTGAATCCATTTACCTAGAAAAGTCTCCAGTTTATCCTTCTTTATGGCTGAGTAGTGCTCCATTGTATAAAAAGAACACGTCTTTTTTATTCATTCCTCAGTTGATGGGCATTTGAGTTTTTTCTAAGATCTAGCTATTACAAATTGTGCTGCTATAAACATGGGTGCATATATATCGTTCTGGTATGATGTTTTCAGTTCTTCTGGGAAAATACCCAGAAGGAGACTAGCTGGGTCAAATGGGACCTCCAATCCTAGTTTTCTGAGGAATCTCCACACTGATTTCCACAGTGGTTGCAGCAGTCTACACTCCCACCAACAGTGGAGAAGTGTTCCTTTTTCCCACATCCCTTCCAGTATTTGTTATCAGTTGATTTCTTTGTGATTGCCATTCCGTCTGGGGTGAGATGGAATTTCAGTGTTGTTTTAATTTGCATCTCTCAAATGACCAGTGATATTGGACATTTTTTTCATATATTTATTTGCTGTTTGTATTTCTTCATCTGAGAAGTTTGTATTCATCTAGATGCCCATTCTTGGATTGGGCCTTTAAATTTGGGAGGTCTCATTTTTTTTTTTTAGTTCTTTATATATTCTCAGTAGTAATCTTTTATCTAAGAGACAGCTGGAAAATATCAAATGCTAATGATTTTATAAGGCTTCCCTCCTTATTTTCTAGTTCAATTCCTTGTTCTTTTCCCTAAACAGAGCATTATGACAAACAGGCAAATTTATTTTTCTAAATAGTCATCTAAGTCTTTATCATCTTTCTTTACCATTTTTGTTTGAATATGATTAATGCAGAGAAGCGCAGCAGCTCTGTTCCCAATTCCTTTTCTCCATTCAACTGTCTCTCCAAATATGATCATCCCGCTAGTAAAGCATACACGGAGTCCACACTAAAACAAGCTGTGGGAGAAAATCTGTTTGGCTCTGAACATGTAGGCCTTCCAGCCTTGTGAACTGAGCTGGTAAGTAACCTTGAGAGCAGACTTTTCCCTAGACTGGAATAGAAGAAGGCCTGAGGAGGGAAAACTGGAGGGGAAGGAGGAAAGAGAGAAAGAAAATGAGAATAGAGGCAGTGTTGGATACATTATTGTGTGTGTAAGCCTTAATAAAACCAGACAAGGAGCCCTTGTCCTCCTTCCTGAAAGGAAGAAGAAATGCAGGAAGCCTAGACCAGTAGACTATGGTGGCCCGGCGGCAGGCTGACAGAGGCCTAGTTATAAAGACAACTTTCTTTGGCCAACAGCTATGACACCTATTACACACTTACAGTTACACTTCCTGGACTTGCATTTTGTGGAAACTCAATAGTGAAATAATCTTTTTCTATGTTGTAAGTATAAATCATCTTTAGGAAATGATACTGTAATACCTATACGATGATAACCACATTCTTTATCATTTAGTTGTGTACACAATTAATTGTAAGTTTTAATGAATTGTATAATGGAAATAAAGGCCTGACTTAGTTTGTCCTGCACTGCTACAACAACATAACACGATTGGGTACTTCATAAAGAGCAGAAATTGCCAGGCAAGGCCACACACCCGTAGTCCCAGCCTTTTAGGAGGTTGAGGCAGGAAGATCGTTTGAGTACAGGGGTTGAGGACAAAATAGTGAGGCCAAGTCCTAAAAGCAAACAAAAACTGCACAACTTGTTTCCCACAGTTGCGGAGGCTGAGAAGGCCAAGATTAAGGTGCCAGCATCGGCTGAGGGCTGTCCTGTGCTAGAGGCTGGCATCTCCAATGCTCTGCTTCATAGGGGAGGAATGCTATGTTGTCACACAGTGGAGGACGGATGGGCATGAGGGACAAACTCCACCAAGTCGCTTTGTGAGGACACCTAACCATAAGCATGAACACAGAGCCCACAGGACTCGGTCATCTCCCAAAAGCCACAACTATTAATAGGAAGTCATTTTCAGGGAATTTTTGAGGATACAAAAATACTCAAATCAGCATGCGGCCTTATTTCTGTTTACTTTCTAAATTTGTTTCAAGGTGGGGCTTAGGACTATGTAATTTTCATGCTATAACAGGGTATCTCTAACATGATCTTTTAAAGAAATGATACTCTGAAAACATGTAAAGCTAGAATATCTTAAGGTCTCTTTCGACTACTAGTTTGGCCAAATGGAAATAACTAAAAAACGATCTGAATTTGTTTTCCTTTAGTTATTCCTCAGCAGAGCTGGTCTGTGCTTGATTTTATTTTCATACTGTTAGAACTCCAAAATTTAGAATCAAGTAAAGTACTATAATCTGTGCTATTTCAATTCAGTCATACCTACAGAATATTAGACTACATGATAAAAATTTTAGATCCTTTTAATGCAAGTCTCTAATGGAGCTTAATAAAAGGAGAAATGATTTTTCAATTACATAGTTGTTCCTCAGATTGATTCTAAAACGTTTATGGATACCTGAGTCCCTTATAGAAAATGGTACAGTATTTGTGTATAACCTACTACCTCCTGTATATTTTAAATCACCTCTAGGTTGTTATATAAAAAGATAAACTATACTGTTTAGGGAATAATGACAAGGAAAAGAATTGTACATATTCAGTCCATGTATAATTTTTTTTTCCAATCTGTGATTAGTTGAATCAGTGACTGCAAAACCTGTGGATATGGAGGGCCAAATGTATTTGAATTATTTTGCTTTATGTATATGTTTTGTTTCACTGAAGAAACTGAAGACTTTTTTGAGTGTAAAGATGACATTTCTCTCCAAAACAGGAATGCAGCCCATTGAATTCCTATAAAATAATCTCTTGGCAAATACATGTGTCTGTGCTCTTAGTTCCATTATATGAATTTCTTAGCCATAGAAAGCTACACGGAAGTGTAGTTTTCTCCCTGGCCTATATGCTAAGCAACTAATCAACTCTTTATTTTTTTAAATGTAGCTAAACTTACAGCTACTCCCTACTTTGAATAATCTAATAAAGAATACTGTCCATTTTTAAAATATTCTATTGCTAATCTAGTTACTATGTCTGTCCTCAGAATTTGTCTTTAAAAAAGCAAAGATGCGATTTGGAATATTTTCCTATTTTTCCTGTAGGCATTGACTCTGGACCTGGGTCTAGGCAGAGTAAAAATGGAAGTGAAAAAGAAAACAGTGGTGGGAAAGGGAGTTACACATGTGAATGGAGCTTATAAACAAACTTCAGAGTAAAAATGTCCTGTTGTGAGAATGTAGGTCTGGTTAATCTGTTGCAAGCCCTCATTGCTTGTCATTTCTAAATAATTCTTGAAATTTTTAGGTTTGTGCCACAGAGAAACCTAAAGTAAAAGATACCTTGGGGCAATTTGGTATTTACATTTGGATGATTACGGAGGAAGCCTCCAAAACCCTTGTGTTTTTTTTTGATAAAGACTTCATACTGCTAAGTGGTCATTACATTTCCCGTAGACTTGAATTTTCTCTCTTCATTACTTTATTTTTTCTCATGTTCATTTTTTTTGGTCCTGCCCAAGTCCTGAGAGGACCCGTACTGTAAATACGCTCATTTTCTGTTAGATTGGATGCATAGATTCATACTTCAGATGGTGTGAACTAAGAGACCTGGTTACAGTGCAGTATTTAAGAATAAGTTGAAGTATCTTAAAATTGCCTGAAATATTTAACAACACAGTTCAAGGTGCTGGAGTACAACAAAACTCTGAACAAAAGGACTTGTTGTGCCAGACGGAGTTTATCTGACTAGAGAAGCGTACTTTCTAATGATGCTTGATGACTCTTGACCATAATTTCTGAAGTGCCTCCTTTTCAGAGTCAGACATTTTCCTCCCCCGGAAAAGCAGACAGATAGATCTTTGAAGCAGGCTATAGTTTGGGGAATGGAAATGTCCTGGGTGAAGGGATAAGGTAAATATGGGGTAAAATAGCAAATGAATGAAAAAAAATATTTGCAGAAAAATCAAGTGAGTCATTTGTTTCCTTAGTAATTTATTATTAAGCATGTGAGGAAGTAATATTTTATAGTGTTGGACGGCCACCTTTGATGGTCATTCCCTGTAGCTTTCTGGGTCTTCAAGAGGCCTTAGGCACCTTAAAATCAGGTAATACCAACAGAATCGGTAAATACCTTAAGTCTATCATTTTCCAAACTTTGTAGGTAGGACTTGTGATGGCATGGCAGGATTTATACAAGTGAGGATAATCCATGGATTTTGGAAAAACAGTCTAGAATTGGCAAAGGTTAAGATACTCAAAGGAACTTTAAGTATTGAGATAGTTTATTTTAAAACTTTCAATATTTACCACTTTCCCTGGATGTTCAGTAGTTCTGTTTAACATGTTGAACCATCGTCAACAGAACCCTAAGTGGGTCACAGAGCACTTGCAGTATTTTTGACTCCATACGCATAGCCACAGCCAGCTGGTGAATTTTTTGAAGGGAGCGAGGGTAGAGTAAATCTGTAAGGATTGTACAATTACTGGGAAGAATAACGTTATGGCGGTTGAAAGCAGATTCCATTACAAGACTAAGGATACAAGTTAGAGCATTTTCTTTTTCTTGGAAAAGTGACATCAAGTACTCATTTTTGGCTGTCGGTCCATCATAAGACAAGGTGGCAAGTTAGAGTACACTTTCTTGGAAAAGTAACACTGAGCAAGTGTTCTACCACTGAGCATATTCTTGGATATTGTTCTCTAAGAAAACTGTGACTTTTTTTTGTTAAGCCCTCTAAAATATATTACAGAATATTAGATCACTGTCTAGTATTGTATATATTTTATTAAGTCACCTTGAGATTTAAGAAATAGTTTGGTCCCATCAATAGTGTATTTAGAAATCACCATAGTACGTAATACTTTGAAAAACTTCCCCCAGGTTCATAAAGTGTATCTGTTTGGGAGATTGCATCCTACTTTGTATTCTTAGTTACTCAAATAGGACAGAGTGTTGTGCTGAGACACTGCCAAAAATGTCACCTGAAGGCAAAGCAATTTAGAAGAGAAAGAGATGATATTGTATTGAACCTCCTTAATGATACGGTTTTATATTTTCACAGCTTGAAAACAAGTTTGAGTCTTTCCATTTGGCTGTACTTTCTGCATACTTTCCTCCACTAACCTGTTGGTAAGTAATTTCTATGTGTCAAATACTAGAGTAGGCCCTAGAGAAACAGTGTGTGTATCTCAGAGAGCTCCCAGAAATATGCTTCTACTGAGAAAAAAAATGAATGATAAAATTAAACTGACATATAGAACATGTTAAAATGGGACACAACAGTGTAGTGGGTTAGGATAAATAAAGCCTAGGGTATTTCTAGGGTGGGAATCACTTTTAGGTGGAAACTTAGGAATTCAGCTCTTAAAGATGGTTGGGGGTTTTGCAGATCAGGGAGGAAAGGACCCTCTAGGAAGGATGAAATAATACGAAATAGGATGGTAAATTTGTGGAACCCTGGTTATTTGGAGCCCTGTGTACATTGTATAGAAATGTCACAAGAAAAGAGCATCAGGATTTAAGTGTCAGCCAAATCAAAGAGAGCCTTAGACTTGATCCTTTAGGTAGTAGAGAGCTGCTGAAAAACCTTAAATTTGTAGTATCCTGATTGGATTATAAGGATATCCAAGAGTACATTCTGAATTAGAAATAAAATGTGAGATTTGTGGTCTGACAGTTTTTAGGAAAACCGTAGGCTGACGAGTAAAAGATCTCCAACAAGTGAGTAATAAAAAGGAAAATTGGAAAAAATAGGCAAAATGTTTAAAGAGATATTTTACAAAAAAATCAAATGCCAGTGACCAGTGAGCCTATGAAAATGGTTGTCCCTTCACTGTACATCATAGAAATATAAAATGAAGCCAAAATGCTACCTTCCAGTGGAGTGCCTAAGGGGAAATAAAAAAGAAAATAGCAAGTGATAAGGTTGTAAAGGAACCGCGACATTCACTAAGGGGATACACATTTGTGTGAGCATTCTGGAAAACTCTTTAGCAGTATCTTGTGTGACTGATGGTATGTTGGTCATTTGGCTCTGTGGGTGTGTGAGTGAGGGAGAGAGAGAAGGCAAATATTCACACTGATCAGTTTGAAGCTACCATTGGTTTAAAAAACCAACTTACAAAATTCTTCAGTGATTAACAATTAGTGCGTGCCAGGTTGCAGCACAGCTAATCAACTCTTCAATTCCTAGATATATATCCATCGAAATGCATCCATAGTGCCCAAAAGACACAGGCCGAAGTATTTATAGCAACTCTATTTATAAGGCCAAAAATTGGAAACAACTCAAATGTCTATTAACATTAGAGTAGATAAATTGTTATATATTCACGGAAATGAATACAGGAATGAGAAGTAGTAGACTATTCTGACTCTTCACATGTGATAACAATAATGCATGTAAAAAAAAATCCTAGAGGTGAAACCAGACATAAGAAAATATGTTATTAAATTCATGTACATTTCCAAAGCAGGTGAACTAACCTTGAGTATTAGAAGGCAAAGTGGTCATTTGCTTTATTTGAGATGTTGCAACCAGAAGGTGACTCGGGATCTCTTGAAATCCAGGGTATATTCTCTCTCTTGATTTGGAGGTGACTTACTAAGATGTTTTCCTTTTGTCAAAATTCATTGAACTGTAACTTAATGTTTTATATGCTTTTTTAAATGTACCTTTTGTATCCACAGAAATGTTCACATAGGGCAAATAAACTTATGGGCAGAAATGAGATGATTCAGGTTGTACATGTAAAGTAAGAACAGTAACAGAATTTTGGAGAACACAAAACCACACATATTCCTATCTTTCTCCATTTTTCTAAGACCCTTTCCAGCTTTTTCTAGGTAAGTATTGCAGAAGGCAAGGATAATGCTAAGCATAAAATCTGATAGTGAGATTGCTCTTGTGGCATTCTGCCTAGAAACTGTTGCCAACAGGACATTTGGGCTGAATTATTGTTAGATTTTGAGAAAGTGAAGGGTTGGCAGATGGAGAAGTACGGTCATGAGAAGAACCGCTTAGAGGCGGACTACCTGGCTTTATGCCATGGTGCGAAGGACAGCATGGCACGTGCTTCTGTAAACTTCCCGGTGTATTAGTTCCCAGTAAATGCACCATAATCTTCTCATCATCTCTCAGTGATATCCTGAAATGAGATACTTTGTGAATTATTGGCTTAAGAAGGAGGGTAAAAGAAAAGGAACTCCATATTCATCAAATTCTGAAAGAATAGTTTTATTTCATTTTCATTTTTATTTTTTGCCGGAGCTGGTCCCAAACTCCAGGGTTCATTCAGGTGACCTTCTTGCCTCAGTGTCTTGAGCTGCTGAGACTGTAGGAGCCTACTGCTTACTCACGCGTACTATTAGAAATGTAAAGGTATATACCCCGAACAACTGCATACTTCTCTTTTCCAGAAATGGCCAGCAGTTTTTTGAAAACATCATCTCTGTCTTCAAGGACAAAAGTGCTCCATCAAGTGGGCGTGTCTCTGTACAATACCTCTCATGGCTTCCATGAGGAAGAGGTGAAGAAAACACTCCAGAAGTTTCCTGGTGGGTCCATTGACCTTCAGAAGGATGACAGTGGCATTGGCATCCTTACTCTGAACAATCCTAGTAAGATGAATGCCTTCTCAGGTAGGCGAGAGCTTTCTTTTCTTAGATAAAGAATGACACTAAATCTTACGTGCTGTCACATGGTTTTAGTCCTTACCCGTCCATAGAATTCATACCGAACAGTACTCTATAATATGAACCAAAAACTTAGTAATATTTTGATGCTTTTTAAAAAGTCATGAATTTGGATGTTTATAAAAAGGATACTGTTAAATCAATCTTTTTGTTTTGGTACTGGGAATCGATCTCACAACCTTGCACTTTCTAGCCAGGTGCTGTGCCACTGAGCTAAATCCCCGCCCAAATCAATCTTAACTATGTTTCCATTGAAATTTATTAACTGCATGAAAACTTTGTCTTCAGCTAATGCTATTTGAAAACAAAAGGCAGTTTCAAAGATTTTTGTGAGACTAAAGAGAGAGATCTATACATAACTATTTAAAATGTTTTCTGTGAATTGACATGTGGCTGTCATTGGTAGTTGTCCTCCTTTTGCCCCTAAACTTTTATTTTAGTAAAAGTTAAAGTTTCCCTTCTTTTTTTGCTTTCTTTTAAAGTTTTTAATTGGCATAAGTAATTATATATTTATAGGGTGATACTTTGATTCATGTGTACAATATATACTGATCACATCATGAGATGTTAGCATTTCTTTATGTTGAAAGCCTTCAAACATCTCTCTTCTGTGTGTTTTTAGGGATATAATCATTGTAAACTACAGGCAAAGACAGTGCTGGAGAGACTAGAACTTACTCCTGTGATGGGAACACAGCACTTGCTTGTCTGTTGAGTCTTTCCTTGCTCTTAGATACTGGTGAATACCTTGGATTTGCTAGGCAAGTCTCTTAGCATGTAAGAATTTTATACTTACGGAACCTGGAGAGCCAGCACATGTGGTAGTTTGTCACTTTTGCTGAAGCTCGAATTTGAATCCTGCTTCCATGTTATGGCAGAGCTAATGAGTAGCCTTCCAACCTTCACCCCTCACACTTGAGAGTTGTGTGCTTCTTGGTGAGGGTAAACTACAGTCTTTAGTAACTTTTGAAATACTAGACTCAGATATTGCAGTAAACTTTGTGGGTCTAAGTTACTGGAACCTACAGACATAATTCAGCAAACTATTAACTTTGTAAATCGCCACTAGTGGGTCTTTATGTCAAAGACAGTTTTTCTGTCTTCTTAATCAGATTTCAGGGATATTTCTCCATATTAGTGCTGACCAGTAAAGTTACAATGCGAGACACTAATGTGATCCACACATGTAATTTTAGATTTTCTAGTAGCCATCATTTAAAAAGAAGAAACAGTTAAAACTGATTTTAATAATCCATTTTATTGAGCACAGCACATCCAGAATACTATTTTAACAAGTGATTGATGTAAAAAATTACGAATGAGATGTTTTCCTTTTTATTTTCATACCAAGTCTTGAAACCTGGTATTACACTCATTGCACAGCTGGGGTTTAGGCACAGTTCAGTTGCCTACTAGCTACATGTGAGAAGTGGCTACTTCTTTAGACAGGGTCATGCTATACCTTTGGTTAGGGAATAAACTCCCAATTTTTCTATTATCCCAGGAAAAATAAATTTAGAAAGATAAGAATGGCAAGACTGTCCTAGAAGGTTAAATTAGATCAGTAATTGTAATGTACTACTGAATAGTTAGAAATAATCTTCGTGGTGTTTTGTTTTGTTTTGTTTTGTTTTGTTTTGTTTTGTTTTGTTTTTTGGTACTGGAAATCGAACTCAGGGCCTCGCACTTGCCAGGCAGGCACTGTGCCGCTGAGCTGTATCCCTGGCCCAGAAATAATCTTTTACTCAAGTGAAAACAAATAGTAACTTAGTGCCTGACGTATAAAACTAGTAAAAGCAGAGCTGCTTGGCTGTGGGTGAAGATACTTGGTTAGATTGAATAGGGAGAGGAGAGGTGAGCCCCAAAGCCTTCGATGAAAAAATACCCAACTGGATACTCTGTAAGATCCCCTCCAGCTATTCAGGTTTATTTTATAAAGTCGAAAAATGAGTTTAAGATTAACTACTAGTATAGATTTTTCTGTGTTCAAGCCCACCTTTATTTTTTAGACACTGAAATAGTCATAAATGATTGAAGGTCTGTATTTTCTTACAGAGATTTATTTTTACTCCAAATGTGTGGGTGTTTTATTTCCTGTACTAAACTGAAAATCATTTGAGAACAGGATCTGTATTTCTAAAGTTTCTAAGACATTTTTGGAAGAGTTTTGTAACATTTTGACTACAGTTTTAAGCAAGTCATAATTAGCATTTTGAAAGGTTAGCTGAGCTGTTAGTCATTTGCCAGCCAATGACCATTTATTGTAGAACCATATAACCACTGGTTATTTTAAAAAGGCAAAGAAAATAAAAGTTCTTGATCTTGTGAGATTTGTATCCCAAAATTAAGTATACATAGTTTAATTGGGCATAAATGTAAGTTTTAGAAACTCACATTATAAATTTTAATCCTCACTTATGCTTGTTATATTGGCTTCTAAAGCTGCTGTTGCTATTTTAAGTTTATCTAATATAAGGAAGCTCAAGTAGAATTTGGAGTGATACCGAGGTAACAGTGTAACCTATAAATTGCAGACTTAATGGCAGTCCGGCGTGTCACTTCTATAATAGCCCTTGGGCTTGTCAGAGCAGTTTGCCTCGTGGAGCAGGGTGTTTGCTGCCCCTTTCCTGAACTGACACCCTTTCGTTCTGGTTCTGGTGTGAGCAGCATAGGAATCTCACTTTATTCTGTATACTCTGTTTCTAGGTTATTGCAAGATCCCGTAATCATCCTAAGATCCATAAAGTTCATTGAACTTGTTACTGAGACACTTAACATATATTGCTGTAAAGTTTGATTTGTGTTTTATCTTAACCCTAAGAAATAAATTTTCCTTATCATCATATCCCATGTTGTACATTCCAGTTTTCCTATCCCTAGAATGTGTATGACGCATTTTTATTTTTCTGCCTAAACATAAATGTATGTGATTTCTTGAGCTAGGTAGAGAAATATATACACTGACAAACTTAAGCTTTTAAAGCAGGGATGCCACGATTCCTCTTTTGTGTACGCCATTGGACCAGCACAATAGACATTTTTCTGAAAAGCATTAGTAACTGTCTGTAAAGGACTTCACCTAAGAGTCTTGGTTGACTAAAGAGTCTATATTACTTCTGCTTTTTCAGTCTTAGACTTTTCTGAGTTTGTGATTTTCCCCTTCCCTCCCTGGCAGGTACTATGATGCTACAACTTCTGGAAAAAGTGATTGAATTGGAAAACTGGACAGGAGGGAAAGGTGTCATTGTCCGTGGAGCCCAGAACACTTTCTCGTCAGGGTCCGACCTGAATGCCGTGAAAGCACTGGCCACTCCAGAGGTGAGTGCTGTGTGGGTTCAGCTGCGTTAGACTGCACGTGTTCACTAGACGTCTGTGACTCCGACATTTCTATTTTGCCTGTATGGTTATTAGCAGAACGCTTACTGTTTAATAGCCTTCCAAGGATCGGGTCTTTGGGTTTTGGTAGAATTATAAAGAACTATCAGGGGAATGATGTAAGGGAAGCAAATGATTCTCTAGGTTTTTGCAGTAGGCTGCCTACAGGGACCACTGTGGCAAACACTTTGAAATGACTCGTCTCTGGCTTAGCAGCGCACTTGCAGCTCGGTCGGTGCTTGTGCAGAGCAAGCCCCTCTCTGTGTGTCTCCTTTCTTTCTGTCTCTCTCTCTATCTCCCCCACTCTCTGTCAATGTTGGTTCTGTTACTTCTCCTCAGCCCGCACTTTGTCTCTTTTCTGTGTCTGTTAATTCTTTTTTAAAATAAATTTTTAAATTTTAGAATAGTGTTAGATGTACAGGAACGTTGCATAAGCATAGAGTTCCATGCTCCCCACACCCAGTTTCAGCAGACGTTCTGTCACATATTACGGTGCTACATTGGATATATCACAAGCGATGGGCTGACAGTGACATTTTCCTGTACTGAGGGAAGGATTTACTTTGCAACTAGCTGAGGAAAGGGGAAACATTCTTCCGTGCATTTGGTATTACAAAGTGTGGGGTGTCCTGGGTAGTTTTCTAATTTCACATCCTGAATATAGACTATTTAGAATTATGAACACTAAGGAAATTCATATTTATTTAAGCATATTTATTAATTGGTCATCAGTATATATTGATATTTATAATCATATCTGAGAGTGTGAAAGGACAATAAAACCAGAGCATTACTACACTAAAATATTTAGTACTATGTATAGAGAGTATATTGATCACGGGATGCTTTTTAAATTAACAAGAACTAGAAATGGTGTACGTAGAGTTCCTGAGAACCATTCTTCGTGTAGACCGTGTTCTTACATGCTTGATAGTTAGCAGGGAGCGTGCGAACATCGCACATGGCCTTGGAAGTCAGGGCTCACGTGCTCGCCACAGTGGTCCCTCACAGCCACACAGCCCGAGGCTCCTCGCGGGACCCCCTGCATTTCCCTCGTGGCGAGGCTCCTCCTTACTCAGCATGCGGACTCTGTGGTTACGGATGTGTCACTGGCATCTGCCTATTGGGAAACTTGGCTTTTTTTGAGAAGGCTGTGGTAACCAGACTGTGTGATGATTTTAGTCATTGGATTACATTTCCCTCTAACAGACAAAATGCTTAAAAGGGGATGAATTTTTTAAAAATAATGATGTCGATGTTTTTGCCACTGTAATGTTTCAAATATTTAAAGATGTTTATAATGATAATTACCAAATATAAACAGAATGGAGACTAATACAGTGAAACCCCATGTGCCCGTAGCAGCATCCACAGTACTCCACATCCTATTGTATTTCTCTAGCTTTTGCCCCAGTTTTCTTTCTTTGGAACTGATCTCATAAGCAGTGAGTTTCCTTTAGGTGTTTTTTGTTCTAATGAGCAGGGAAAGAACTGCGCCCGTTCCCATGACGCAGTTATTGGTTGAGAGGCAGAGGCCTGGAAGCGACTAGCAAAACACGTGGTTTGCCCTGGAAAGTTACAGGGAGTAGAAAGGAATGCAATTTTTAAAAACGTAAATATCAACCCAGTTATAAAATGTGGATATGCCTGTAACCCCAGCACTCAGGAGGCTGAGGCAGGAGGCTTGTTGGAAGTTCAAGACCAGCCTGGGCTACAAAGTGAGCTCAAGTCCAGCATGAACTGCATACGGCGACCCTGTCTCAAAAAAAAAGATTTGTAATTGATGCTACAAATAGTCTATACGCTATAAGAGGTCTCTTTTTAGAGGAAGGAAGCAGAGTTCAATTACAGGCTTCAGGATGCAGGGAAATGAAAACCTGCTTGTTTTCAGCAAGTGGGCGTGAGGCCTCTAGGAAAAGTCTGGCAGGTTAGAAACCTTCATAGTCCTAATCTAGTTTCAGGATAATATCCTCCTTTGTTCCTTGACCTCCTACCTTCTTTATTACTCTCCTGTGGGCACATTTGTATTTTTTTTTTTTTTTTTTGTACATTTTTTGAGACAGGGTCTCACTATGTAATTCAGGCTGTACCTGAACTCACTGTGTAGCCCAAGCTCACATCGAATTCACAGAAATCCTCCTGTCTCAGCCTTCATAGTACTGGGATTACAGGTGTGCGCCACTACTCCTGGCCTGTAATTGTATCTTTTAACTATTCTTACATTTAAATTTAAATCAACAGATGTTTTTATTCCTTGTTCTTTATGGATGCAAAACTGATACTCATAGTTGGCCTGCTCTAGTTCACGCTGCTGCTAAGTGCTAACACTGCCATTTATACTCTGCCCTTCTCCAGCTAGCTGGCTTTGCCATGGTGAGTTGGAGGTGCTGGCAGAAAATTGAGTGAGAATTGAGGTAGGTTTCAGCACTTCACAGGGAAGCAACAGTTGAAAGAGCAGTGGATGACGGTTGCAAGGAAGTGCTGCATCCAGCACAGCTGTTGAAATTCTCAGGGTGAAGGATGGTGGAGGAAGAAGAAATAAAGACAAAACTCAGAAAACAGAAAGCTGAAATCAGGTGGAGCCCTCTGGATGGGAGAAAAGGAACGGGTCAAGGACCACAGTGTGTTTATTTATACATTCAGTGGGTTGATGTCACGTGACACCCCTCTGCCTAGCAACCTGTCTGCTTGGCTTGCCTTGGGCGCCTGGTGCTCTCCAGACTGGAGCAGCTTGTTTGCATGGTGCCTAGGGAGCTCTGCACATGGGGTCAGTCTCCTGTTTCAGCCACTCCCCACAAGGAAGAAACCGCATAAGAGGAGACTCGTGGATTGGGTTGTTAAGAGCAAATGCATTAGGGGATCTGTGAAGTAATAAGCCAAGGATGGAAACTAGAAAAGAAAAACTAAAGGAATAAGAAAATCGGAGGCTTAAAGTATTGTTAAAAACTAAGATAGAGGACCAGAGTGAAGAAACTGATCAAAAGGCACTCCCCATTAGAGACAGAAAGCAAGATGGAGAAAAAGGAGGAATCGTTTACTTTGAAAAATGAGAGAGTATTAGCAAATTTTGAGGAAAACCTTTTTGAAGAGGGCTGAAGGCCAGATTACGTGAGTTTTAGAAAGTGAGCTGAAAAAGAGGAGGCAGTGCATTTGGACCACTTTTAAGAAGAAATGTGTTGATTTGTAAAGATGCCAGGATTAAGGAATACAAAAATTCGACGCTTATTACAATTTTTCTCTTCCTTCCTTCTTTCGTGTGTTTGTCTCTATGGGAATAATCAGTGAGTGCCCCTTAGCCTTTCCAGCCGAACTCCCCTGCGTGGAGTCCTGCAGTGCTCTGACTCTGTGACCTGGCTGTCACGTCTGCATCTTTGCTGCCACTTCGTGCCGAGCTGAGCTCAAGGAGCCCTTGTGTATCCGCAGCAGAGTCAACTATAGCATCCTTTGTATTCCACACGGCCTCAGCGAGGTTTCAATGAAACTCTTTTAAAAATAAGTAGATATATTTTTGTCACTACTTTCTAAAAATCTCGACTTTAAAAATATTTATTATACATTTGCTTTATATCTTTATGTTTATGCTTGTTTTTATTTAAAGGATGGAGTGGCTTTATGTATGTTCATGCAGAATACCTTAACAAGATTTACAAGGTAATGTATCTTTTTAAAAAAAAAATATGATTTCTAGAAGACCACAAAATAGTTCCTTATCACTTTATTATTTGTGCTAGCTAAAAAATAATAGCCGATGTTTAAATTATATATATTCTAATGATGAACTATTTCATTTAATTGAATTTTAGGGAAGTATACACAAGTATTTTATAAACAATAGGGAGGGAGGAAAAGAGTTTCCCCAAGGAGTTTGTGTGACTGTGTTCAGGAGCAGACACGAGGCAGGCAGATACAGAGCAGAATAAAGACACTGACCAGGAAATGATGAGTCAAGATGACTTCATGTTGAGAATTTGCAGACCGTGTGTTGGAGTGGAGTGGTCCAGAGGAAACCAGCTCTGCATTGGAGGAGCTGTCACAGCTTTTTGAGATAGATGGATTTACTTTGCGTTTAGATAAGACGAAAAGGGGAGAGTTTTTTTTCTTTGCATTTCCTGGGTTACACACCGCTACATGTTTTAATTAATTAATTTCTAATTTCCTATCCTGAATGTAGACACTCTTAAAATTACAAAAGCTAAGGAAATTCAGATTTAGGCATACTTACTAATTGAACATCACTGTATTTTTGTACTTACATACCCGATGGTCTAGAAAAAGCACTAGAATCGTAACATTTTATTGTGAAGCACTGTTTTTGTTGTTTTAGTATCTGTTCCTTTGCCTTCTCTACTTATGCTTACCTTTTTCTTAGACAAATCTGAACAGCTATTCTGTTTGTTTTTGTGTGTGGCACTAGAGATTGAATCTAGAGATGCTATACCACTGAGCTACATCCCCAACCCTTTTATTTTTAGGCGCATGCCTGCCTTTCAGGGGCTGAGGCAGGAGGATCCCAATTTTTTTGTTTGTTTTTTATTTTTAGATAATCCTTCCTTTTTGCAAGCAGTGTGTATTCAATATTCAGTTACATTAGAACTGCAACTTTACATTTGAATTAGAAGCTACAGAAGCCTCCTTACTTTTAAAACATCATCGATTTACCTTGTAGTATTTACATATGCCAGCAAATTGGTTCTTTGCAAGTAAAATCAAGTTAAGAAATTTATTTTTAAAATAAAGCCTGTACATGGGATTACTTTGTGGATCATTTCAGGCAGTAATGTGCTGACTTTTGATAGGATCCTTCAATATATACCTCTGGAGTTCTGTCTTCAGGGTCACATCTTCTTCCTTTCGATATAACCTTAATTTTCCTACCCTTAGCCTAAGGTTAATAAAAATGGATGAAGACAATATTACATTGAGTTATTCTGGATTTTTACCTGCTGAGAAGCTGCAGAAGTATTTTATACAAAAGCATCTGTCTTTGGAACAAAGTTCCACTGTGCCTTCAGTTTCAGAATTGCTGGATATGGTGATAACACCTGTAATCCAAGCAGTATGTGAGGCTGAGGCAGGAGGATTACAAGTTCAGGCCCAGCCTAGGCAATTTAGTGACATGGCAAGTCTGTCTCGAAATGAAAAATAAGCAAGGGCTGAGGGTAGCTCAGAGGGAAGGCCCTGGGTTCAATTGCTAGTACAAAAACAAACTTGCATGTCATTTAATATGAATTAGTGTGTTTTTAGTACTATGCTGTTTTTTTGGCTACAGCACAAGCTCAGGGTTCCCTATTCTTTGATAAATGTTTGTTACAAACATAGTACAGTAGTTTTATTTCCACTGTGTTTCAAGATTTTCAAAATAATATTTGTCAGTTAATATTGAAATCGGAACTATTAACAGCCCTTTCCTTCAACAGACTTCCTTTAATAAGCGTCGCACTGGTGCAAGGCCGTGCCCTGGGCGGAGGTGCGGAGTTCACCACAGCCTGTGATTTCAGGTGGGGGAACAGTTGCATGTGTCTTGCATGAATGTATTGCCGTGTGCTCGTATTTCCTTCTTTGCCAGAATGTTGCTGTTTCATATATTCTTACACAGAATAATCAGTTAGTGAGTATTTTTTTTTGGTCAGTCATTAAAGCAGATAATTTTAGTATAATTACTATCACTGTTACCATCCATTGAAAAAATGTTGAGAACATAACGACCTTGAGTAACTCAAATCCACATTAGCAAAACTCTGGAGAGCAAAGCTAAGAAAATAAGTGGAATTTGAAAATACAGAATTACACCAAAGCGTACACAGCTGGAAAAAAGGGTACCCGCCCTTTGACCAAGAGCAGAGCTTTCCTGAGATTGTTTCATATCTTCCCTCCGTGTGACTCATAACAACTTCCTTGAGTTTTAGGGCAGATTTAGGAAATAAAGTTAGATGGGCAGGCATGGTGGCACATGCATTTGCACTGAAGAGGCTGAGGCAGGAGGATCCCTGTGATTTTGAGGCCAGGCTGGGCTACAAAGTGAGTTCAGGGCCAGCGTAAACTGCATAGTGAAACCAGCTCAAAAAGACACACACACACACAAGGAAATAAAATTAGAGAAGTTCTTTGGCACTAACAGCTCTTTAGTCTCTAGAATTATTTTCAGTATTTGATAGCTGTACCACATAGGAACGATATTCCATGAAATCTAAAGCTTTTTATGCCCTTGCGACTGCTTTCTTATCAGCATTTCCTAAAACTACACGCGCAGCTAACAGAACCATGTGCGTCTGCTCAGGTCCGCACACTGCAGCCTCTTGTAACGCAGAGGCTGTGTGTGCAACGGGATTGGAGGGAAAACCGCCGAACTTTCAGGAGCGGGAGCACTGGCGTCTGACAGACTTAGATTCCGGCCCGTGTGTCATGCTCGACGTGAACCAAGTCACTGTTTCATCTCTTTGTCTCAGTTTCCGGAAGTATTCATAGATAAGCCTCAGTGACATCGTGAATGCATACAGCATGAATTAGCATGAATACTTAACTCGGGAATATTGCTTTCAGTCTCCAAATTATCTTACAGTATGCTGTTTTACAGAAATGCCACGACAGCCCCTTTCTGGTGCACTTTGTTGTTTTCTTTTAGTGTAGAACCTCTTTCATTTTTATTTTTGTTAGTATGTGTTTGCAGTACATAACGATTACATTCCTCACGGGCAGTCGGAGATGACCATAACCTGTCCTAATTGGTCTTCGTTTTTTTCTGTTTTTCATCCTTTAAGTTCCTTCTCTCTTCATCGGGAGATTTTCCACCTAGCGCCGGCCCTGGGCTCACTCCTCTTTTCTACTTGGTGTACGCTTGACCTTGGCTGAGAAGGCACACGGCGAGGCGGCTCTGAGTCCACTGTGTTCTTGTGGTGCTGAGTGCTGAGTGCTGAGTGCTGAGCCGGGCACTCCCTGGCTGCGCTGCTGTGCTGCACCCCGCGCCCTCAGCCCGCCTGTGCCTCCGGCCCCGAGGAGGAAGCCGTTCTGCTCTGGCACAGAGCGCGCTAGTTACTGCCACGCTCTGCCTTGTGCAACATTTCAACAGTTTTTAGAAACTGATTCTAGTGAGGTAATAAGTTGCATGCAGTTACGAGCGCCCATTGTGATTGTGCAGGGTGAGTGGATTTTGGTGAGTGTCTACACCCACGCAGCCGCCTCAGCCAAGGTGCAGAGTGTGCTGTCAGCCCGTGTGCTTGCATGCTTGCTCGCCCGGGGTTCCCATTTCTACTCCGGGGTAAACACTGAGCCCTGTCTCACTTAAAATAGGTTTTTAAAACAGTTTTTTATATGTAGATTTTTTATAATAGGTTTTTAAAACAGTTTTTTATATGTAGATTCATACAGCGCAGACTCTTTGCGGTTACCTGGCTTCTTTCAATGCGTAATTATTTTGAGCTCCTCTATGCTATACCGTGCATCAGTGCTTCGTTCCTTTATAAAGTTTGAAAATATTTTATTGTGAGACTGTGCCGGTTTATTTTTGGGATTCGTCTGTGTTCTTGTGTGTACATGTGGTTTGATTTATTGCTTAGTAGAACCTCTTTCTATGCTTGTATAGTACAGTGGGTATCATACGAGATGAGCTATTTCTAGTTATAAACAAGGCTATTTTGAATATTTGTGTCCAGTTGTTTATGTGAGAATATATTTTTCTTTTGGGTGAAAACATGATAGTAGAATTGTTACTGCACAGCCTGCCTGGGCTTCGAACTTGAAATTTTCTTGCCTTGGCTTCCCAAGTGCTGGGATTACAGGCATCCACCACCATGCCTGGCTTCTGGATTTTTAATTTGATTATTGAAGATAATGATTTTCCTTAGCAGAAGCTTTTCTATTATTAGATATATTTTATTTTATATTTGAATAATTTGGGAACTTTAAAATAGCTGGACCAATATGAACGCCGAAATGATACTTCTACATTGTTTTTATCCACGTTTTTGAGAATATAATGAAAGCTGGAAATTCTACGTTGAGAAACTCCACTGGAAACATTTTCCATGAACTCGTGGCTTAGAACTCCTGTTTTTAAGTACATATTTCTACATATATAATACTTTCTCAGTTTTTCTTAGAGATAGTTCTTCTGCCTGCTGAGTTCTTCTTTTAGGGCATTCTGTGGGCATAAAACGTAAATGGTCGGCTTCCTGGCCTGTGACACCCTGGGAACCTATGTATCTGGGTCAAGGACTGGGGCATTCCCAGCACCCTGAGCATCCCCCACTCGCCCCTTCTTGGTTACAGCCCTCATTCCACAGGACTTAGCTTTGCTTAACCCTAAACTGTGGTGGTTAGGGTCATTTCTTTTATGCTTTCTCATACAGCTTTATAAACTAAATATTCTGAACAAATATATTCTTTTCATTTCATCTTCACATAAAAGGCATCATTTTAATACATTGTTTGAGAAAAGATTCAATAAAAGCCGTATATTATCTCTTCTTTTTTTTAATAATTTATGAGTCAAGCTTCAGTTTATCAGTTAAGTATGTCCTTTGTACCCTAGAGATTTCAAAATAGTTCTGTGGGTGAGAGTCTCCCCAGATCGTAGCTTTTTTGAAAAGCAGTGACTCCTAGTTGAGCAGATGCAGGTTTAGGGAGCGAAGTGGGCATTTCATATGACAGCGCCCCCTGCTGTCAGCAGGTTAGATTACAGCAGAATGCAGCTACCTCTTACTTGAAGAAAAGCAATCTGTGGATGATAAGAGACTAAGTGGGAAATACTCTGCATGAAAGGATGAAACCCTTTACTCACTTTACCCTGAAATACAGTATGTAATTGTATAAATGTAATAGGTATTAAATGTGAAGTATATGTAAAGAATTCAAAACTACACAAAAGTGCATTATTACGCCTTAAAAATCCTCTACATAACAGTAAGGGCAAATTAAGATTTTATAGGTGCCTTTGGAGGAGGTAACCCTTTAACATAGTCTGGCATTCACTTTGAAGTGTTCGTTAGGCTTTTGAGTTGTCCTTCGTGTCCATTCCTGATCTGTATTTTGATATAAAGACAAAAGGCAAACTGGCAAGTGAAATAATCACGGACTGTTTAACCCTCAGATGCTGCTAAAAGGTCGTGCTGTGTTATTCTCTCAGTGAGGAGTGTCCTAGAGTCTCACTGAATGTTTAACTTTATTTGTTCTGAGCCCTGTGAGGGGAGGACCCGCCTACCCTCCTATCAGATATGTTCAGTAGTATACCAGGTGCTGTTGTAGAGCAGCTTTGCAGTGAAAGCATGCTCGTTTACGAACAGCTTTCATGGACGTGGTATGTTCATTTAAGCATTTTCCGCACCCACATGTGCTAGGTGCAGCCGTTCTCCAACTCAGCCAGTCTGAATTGATTTCATTTTTCTAGTGAGATGTATTTGTTAAGCATTTTTTTTTTTTTTTTTTGGTTTTTTTCTCCGGTACCGGGAACCGAACTCACGACCTTGCGCTTTCCAGGCAGGCGCTTTGCCGCTGAGCTAAATCCCCAGCCCCTATATTTGTTAAGCTTACAGAAGTGTCGGCCCAAAATCAATTGTGGTGGTCCTGGGGTTTGCTTTTCCTTTCAGTTACTTGTGGTCAGCTGCAGTCTGAAAGTGTTAAATGGGAAATCCTGAATGTAAGCAGTTTATAAGTTTTAACTGCACACTGCCTTGAACAGCCTGATCTGACGCTGTATCTGCCCGGACGTGCGTCACCCCTGTCCCATGCTTTATTGCTGCCTGGCTGTTGGTCACACAGCAGCTGTCTGGCTCATCGGACCAGCTCTCGGTGGCACTACAGTGCTTGTGTCAGGCACCCCCCGGAGTCTCGGAGCCTGTCTTCCTCACGTAAGAGAGGAAAAGTGTAAACACTTTTTTTAAAATGAAGAAAAACCTGATCCTTCGTTATAGAACTCTAAAAAGCAGTGTCGTAGAGCTCAGCCCTTTTCCTCCCCCAGCAAAGGCCATGGCTGAGTCTTCTTGCTTTGCATTTCTGCTAGTTGGAACTCTCCATAAACGTTCCTACGTGCTATCGGTAAATTCCTCCCTTGATCCCCACTCTTATCCCCTCAAACCTCTCTGCCCCCTTCTTGTTTACAGGTATGAAAATAATGTCAAAACTACTTTCTCTTTTTTTTTATGTGTTTTGTTTCTTTTTAGTCTTCTGTTTCTCTCAATTTCTCTTCCTTTAATTACTGTTAAGTCTGGTTTTTAATCTTTTTCTATATCCCAGCCCTTCATCCACCATTATTAATCCTTTGTACTCCTGGGTTATTGAAAGCATAGAAAACTTGCTGAATGAGCTCTAAATGATACATCCGTGTATAATTGGTTCTTCAGATGTTGACTTAGTAGTGGTGCTTCTGTCCTTGCAGTTGAGCGCTAGGGATTTCTACTGTAGTGGCCGAGCTTTCTAGCCCAACTTGTCTACAGCGTTCAACAACACAGGAATTTTGAGAAAACTAGGCAGTAAGATGCCTTAGAAAAATTGTAAGTCCCCAAAA